CAATAAGGAACAGGGGGCTGAAATAGTGAGACAATACTAGAATTAATGTAGTAATATTGGGGTAATTATCATGAGAAGGAGGCAGTAGTAATGGGGCAACACTAGCAAGAAGTGGGCAGAAACATTGTAGCAACAATGAGGAAATAATCAGGAACAGGAGGCTGAAATAGTGGGGGCTGTCATACAGAACGGAGGCCGGGAAGAGAAGAAGCCTGAACTAAAGTGACGATAATAATATCATCTTGAATCTGTCAGAGAGTGTGATATGTGAACACTCTGAGGTCAGATGAATGGGAGGTGTTCCAATCCCCCCAGTTCTCCCCCGTGATAGTGAGTAAGGGATGTGGCCCTGTAGGCCCTGAGTTTGACAGCGCTGCGCTAAGACTCCTCCGACTCGTCCGACTCCTGCTCCTCCGTCTGCCGGGCGCAGAGCTCTGGTGTGATATTAGCTTGCTTGCTTCCCATTAGATTTGCTTGTAAGTCGGAGGCGAGCGGCGCAGAGTCTATTAAACTGCAGACGGGGGGCGAAGCAGCAGGGGTTTATCTGAAAGGCCCTCAGTTTCTGTCTGAGGTGGATAGTTTCTGATGCACGGACTGAATATGTGCATGAAAGCGGAGGCGCCACGCTGCTTATCATGGCTTTCGTGTGCTGCTGTCTTCACCCAGAGGCTAAAAGCCCGTGGGATCCTGAAAGGCTGACAACTGAACCGCCCTCAGCGCAGGAGCTGAAAATGTTATTGACCTAATTCAATTAATCTCCGTTCCAGCCAGAAGCAGGAGTAGTAACTAAATGTCTGTTTTGGAAAGCAAATCGTTGCTGTAGTAAGAAAAAAAATGCACATGCGAATGATTAGTCTATATGAAAAGGGAAAAAAAGGACATTTCCCGAAATGTTTGCTATTTTAATTTTCTTTTGGTCCACTAAATGTCATGAAATGTTCACTCTAAGATCTTTTTAATGCCAAATGCACAGAGAAACTGGTTGTAGAATGCATCAAATACATAGTTCTCATCAGACACATACATACATACTATTTTAGATATCAAAGGACCCATATTCTGCACTTTTCTTGCATTTTTCTTCCGATCTTTTGGGTTTATGTACCAAAAATTCATTTTTACATCACCATTTTTCATCCTGTCTTTATCCCTTAGAAATAAACAGGCTGTTTTTGTTAGTGTGTTTTAAGGCTGGTATATGTAAATGAGCTCTGTTGTGATTGGCAGCCCTGCATTGTGCTTCATTCAAACAGCAATAAAGGCTGAAACACTCCTTATAACCTCAGCATGAATGGGCAAAGCTAAACAGCTGTAGGCTCAGTAGACAAATATGTTTAAAACATTGTTTTTTTAATGACATCACAAAATACAATGAATTCAAATTGAGTTCAAATTGTTTTGCAGCTTGCTTTCCATATATGGACTGTATGGATTAGGAAGTGCATGATGTTTAGCAACATTTACATATTAAATTTATGTGTTATTCCAAAGACAAAGGGAAACTTGGCTTCTCATGACGTGCACTCTTTAAATAGAACTGAACAAAACACTCTTCATTTCTTCGTCACAGTTTTCTGATGTACTACTTGTACAGGTGAACATGCTTTAATTGTGTAAAGTGTAAAATTTATACTGATGACATTAAAATCATTGCATCTTTAAAGCTGAAAGAACATTTATCACATGTTGGAATAAAAGCAAAAGTGCTGGAATACATATTACCATTCAAAAGTTCTGAATTAATAGCAATATTAACAGACTTTGTTTTTTTTACATGCAATCATAATTTGAAAATAATTAGCAAAAGGTATTTTTAGACGTTTATATTCAATATTCTGAGAAGTAAATGAACAAGAAGCTAATAAATGATAAACAATGTACTGTAATTGTCTATTTACAGTCATTTTTAGGGCTGACAAGATTACTCAGTTAAATAACCAATTAAAATGTACAGCGTAGTGATTATTTTGCAATATGACTGATAAACAGGATATACGCTGGTCACAATAAAGCCATGTTCAGCAGTCTGAACGTTCTCCACAGGGGGAGCTATAAGTACTCGCTTATGTGTTCATCACTGAACGAGAGGAAACCCACACCAGCAGGATCTCACAAATGCATGTTTGTGCTTACAAATGTAATGCAAATTATATCTATATGATTACTTGCTTAATTGTCAAAATAATTACTCAAAATAATAATTATAAAAAAAACATATTAAAATAATCAAAATAATTACTCTAGATTACTTAATTACAATTATAATCAGTAGGTGCAGCCCTAATAATTTGTTTTGCCTTAAGATCTCCACTTTAGAAATATGGAATGTTGGATGAATTATGGATGTTAATGTTATTAGAACTACATTATTTCCCATTCATTAAAATCTTCTAAAGCTCATCATTCTGGACACGTCTAACGTTTTAAGGCTTCTTTGTGTCCTACTCATGATTTGAAAGCTGCTCATTAATAACACATTAGAATCATTTTATGCAAATTGGTTTCATGTTATACGAACTTTTTAAAGATAGTGTAAAGTTAATTGATTTTGGGCTGGGGTTTAATTTGAATATGCTGTCTAATAAGCATAATTAATATCTTACTATTATTTTATAGCTTTAACAAAGGATTGCAGATTTTTGAAATTATGTTGATCCATCAATCAGGAAATGTTTACATGATGTAAAGGGAAGCCAAATGTTGTAAACAATAGCATAAAACCAACAATGGGATTATAAAGCTTTTTATGGCAGTGACAAAATGATTAAGCATTGATAGAAAAGGAAAGCTTACTGAAAGGTAATATTAATAACAGGCATATTTCATCCTAAGGCTTACTATTCAGTAACCATGCATTCTTAGGTGATAGGAGTGAGGAATGGCAGCTCCTGGCCCTTTAAAGGGTTAACTGGGGGGTCTAATTGGAATGAGGGGTCTAATTGACATGTATAATCTATTAATAGAGTCAGAACCATATCTTCCATGACATGGAACATTGAGTTTAAGTTGTTCGATCCACCTAACAGCTTCTTCAATGGTCAAAGGCACCGTGCCAGCACAGTAATAGGAGCGCCTGTGATCAATGTGCTCATATGCTTCTGTACCCACAATGCCCCTGGCCTCTGTCTCCACAGAATAGATCAATGCAGACGCAGGCAGGACGCTCTTGAGATTATGGAGCTTCGCGGTGGTGGAGAACGCGCAGAGCTATCATTGATCTCCATTAGGGACGGTATGGAGCTCAACAGGACCAGTGATTTAAACCAATAGATTTGGCCCGAATCACCATAATGTGATCCATTTATGCAATTAAATCATGTTCAACTTCATCTCATGTAGTAGAGTACGGTGTAGAAGTGATGGTGGAATCTGGTGAATGTAGTTTCTTGACGTGATATCACTATGAAACGCTTCACAGTTTCATTTATGAAGGTAAATGATGTTAATACAGTTTAACATTTGATGTTTTTGTAATAAAACCATATTTACCGCAAGTGCTTCAGAAGAAACCTCAATGCAGTGTTGCAAAAATGCATACAATTATTAATGCCACTCATTTTTTTAACACTATTATAATACATTTTCCTAGTTTGACCTTTGACCTGTCCGTACTAGTGCAAGCTAAAGCCCAACTGCAGCGCTGTATGTTGCTCTTGCATTCAAATACAGCTTCAAAATGTCTTTTAAAGCGAGACCTTCAGCACCTTCAGCAGACTGGACCTGTGCTTGTAGGAGAAATATGGATTAATCAATGAGCAGCAAACCAACAAAAGCAGCACCTTGGTGGAGCTCGAGATCCTCCACTGTAGCAAGAATCCACTAGCTGAATGAATGAGCATGGAGGAGCTGAACCACTGACTGTATATAAGACATACATATAATATATACACTTATTGACTTTATATGATTCATATGATGTATACACTTATTGACCATATGTATGATATACATGATATATAAACTCATTGACTGTATATATGACATATGATATATACATTCATTGACCGTATATAAGATATATATGATATATAAACACTCATTGACCATATGTATGATATATATATGATATATACACTCATTGACTGTATATGACATATGATATATACATTCATTGACCATGTATAAGATATATATGATATATACACTCATTGACTGTATATGACATATGATATATACATTCATTGACCGTGTATAAGATATATATGATATATGCACTCATTTACTATATATGATATTTTTGATATATACAGTCATTGACTGTATATGATATGTATGATATACACACGTATGTATGATGTATATATTGGAACATGCAGACACTGTTGCTCTCACTGGATGTCAGTGATGAAAATGGAATCTGTGTTCACTCTGGAAATCGTTTTGAAATTGAATTGAAATTTTCATGTTCAGGTTCACCTGATGAAATTAATGATATTCAAGTATTAAAAAATATAAATACAGCTGATGAAGTTTATTTTGTCGACTCGTGTAGCTGTAACAAAATACACACATTTATAAATGGAAAACAATCTTTCTTTAGGGACAAATGTTTATGATTAATTGCGATTAATTGCACAAAAATTGCAATTAATCATGATTAAATTGTACTTTAAAAATTTTTTTTTACATCTTTTACATTTAAGAAATGTATCTCTCAGACTTTTATCAATATTTTTTTACAGTTTAATTTATGCGATTAAATTAAATGTCAAAGGAAGCTGCACTGTAGAAATAATGTGTTTACTTTTATACCTACGATTTTCTTCTATTTTCTACAAAACAATGACATCATATCAGGTGAAAGATAATTTTATTATTTATTTGTTTTTCATTTGTTTGCTTCTTTGGTTGGTTGTTTTGGATGATGTCAGTGTGTTTTACTGTTTATGCAGATCAATTATGTAGATTTTATGATTTTTTTTTTTCTTTTCAATGTATAAAAACGTTTTAGTTTAATGTTTGAATGCCTTGTTCTTTTATGGCCTTTCTTTCTCTTCCAGCCTGGATTCTTCTGATTGTGGTAGAAGAGGGCTTTGCTCTGGCACAAAGAATCAGAGGTAAGTTACGCTTCCCAGAATTTTTCATTTTGGGTCTGTGAAACTCGTCCTAAGTAAGAAGATGCTCTGGACGTTTGGACAATGAGATGAAAAGGCTTTTCTGAGATGCTCTTAGAGAGGTTAGCAGGCGTTCAGCCATTATGGGAGAAATAGCGGCATCTAATCATGCGTCCTGCGGATTGATAGCAAAATTACGGCGTAATGGTTACATACTCTGGTCATTATCCCTGTTTTTTGATTCCTTTGAAAAATATCCAGCCTAAAATGTCTCTCAAGCAGTCGGAAACATGAGAGCCTCCTGCAGGATTGTTGTAAAATAACGGGCTTTTTCTTTCTAATGTGTCAGTGAGAAAGTTTCTTCCAGAGCCTTCAGCTGTTTACCTTCTCAAGTCAATGCATCATACTGCAAAAACATTAACGTGAAATGAGGTTAAATGTAGATAATTTATCAAATATTTCTCATTATAAGATTGTCTTAGGAATGTTACATGAACTTGTCTGCCAAAGGAGGATAAATTCACTACTTAAAATGACCTAAAATAAGTAAATATGTCCAGAAATAGGTTGAATAATTTCATAACATTCCTAAAACACTATCACAATAAAATTATTACACATATTAACTACATTTTAGATTCATTCATTTGCCAAAGAGATCGTTTTTCAAAGCACGTCTTCACTTACAGAGACTCAGAATGAAGGTGGACCTCCGTCCAGGAATGACCAATGTGGCGTTTGGACCAAAACCATCAGTGGAGGCCAATTCATGTCCCCCAACTACCCCAACACCTACCCCCCCAACAAGGAGTGCATCTATGTCCTCGAAGGTGGGTAGAAACACCAGTGCAGTCCAGATTAAAGCCAACTCTAAAATGTGTCACAAGTAGGGCTTCCTGTAATTGATTAACTTTATACATTATGACTCTGATTAATTGATTAATCTGGAAAAGTGGTGGTGGTGTGTTAGTGTGTGTTGCGCTGGTCTGAGTGGATCAGACACAGCAGTGCTGCTGGAGTTTTTAAACACCTCAGTGTCACTGCTGGACTGAGAATAGTCCACCAACCAAAAATATCCAGCCAACCGCGTCCTGTGGGCAGCCTCCTGTGACCACTGATGAAGGACTAGAGGACCAACACAAACTGTGCAGCAGCAGATGAGCTATCGTCTCTGACTTTACATCTACAAGGTGGACTGACAAGGTAGGAGTGTCTAATAGGGTGGACAGTGAGTGGACACAGTGTTTAAACACTCCAGCAGCACTGCTGTGTCTGATCCACTCGCACCAGTGCAACACACACCAACACACCACCACCACTGCAGTGCTGAGAATGATCCATCACCCAAATAGCACCTGCTCTGTGAGGGTCCATGGGGGTCCTGACCACTGAAGAACAGGGTGACAAAGTATGCAGAGAAACAGATGGACTACAGTCTGTATCTGTAGAACTACAGAGTGAAACTAAATGGTCAGTGGAGCTGATAAAATGGACAGTGAGTTTGAAAAAACAAGGAGGTGGCCGGTCAGTGTATGTAATACATCATCGCCTCTTAACACAGATATATCCACTAAAACAGCAACTAATAACATGAACTCATTTATTTCATTTCTCATTAGTGCACATTCAAGGGTTACATGTTCATTTAATGTTTACATCAGCAGTTGATTGTCCCGTGCAACTCAGGGGTCCCTAAAGACCCCAGTCAGTCCTGGGGGCTTGAGGGGCCCTGGTCAGTAATCTGTCCCGGCTTGTTAATTTGTATTTTATATTAAGATACAGTGAAATACGTGGAGTTAATGAAGCCCTATAAAGCAGTGTTGTTTGTGATTACAGTAATGTCAGTGTTTGTTTAGCTGGTTCTGTAATGGGGCTTGTCTAATAAAGTGATCATTTCTTGGCTATGTGTACTCCCTGGCCACTTTATTGGAAACCCCTCCCTTTCTCAATGTATAACCATTTGCGCCACCTTGCTGGTGTACAGATAGAGACTGTAGCTCATCTGTTGATGCGCAGTTTGTGTTAGCCATCCTCAGGCCCTTCATCAGTGGCCAGTTTCTGACCACAGAGCCGCTCTCGAGTGTATCTGTGTCCTCGAAGGTGGAAAGCATCTCTAAGGACAAACCCGAAGTGCTAATGGGGAGAGAACATTAGCCCAATAGCTAGTGATTGCTCTGCTGTCTGCTGTCACACTGACAAGGAGTTATTAATGCCGCCGTGATTGATGCTGACCTCGAGTAAATACCAACAACATCATTAATAAAGCGCCGTCTCACAAGGTGCCTCTTGGGTCCGGCTTTCTCTCCAGCAAAGCTCACTAATGTTGTTTTTTTAGACTGTACGGTACTTCAGAGCCTCTTCTCTGCTGCTCTAAATCATGTCCTTGCAATAGATATTATGTTATGTTCCACAAAGCTCTTTTCAGCTGTGCCTCAGCACGGCACGATGCCAAGTACAGATTAGATACGCAAGAGTGCCCCCTGCAGGAAAGCTAGAGCCTAGCAGCTGTGAGTCCGATACAGCAGTCATACATTATACATTTGAGACGTACCGAGTACCAAGTGGTGCATAATATATCTGTTGTTACTTTGGAACTTGTGCATATTTTTTGAGTCATTTATAGTCTTGTTTTGTAGACTGAAAAAATGTATTAGGTTTAAAAACGTGATCCATATTTGAGGAATTGTGTTTGTGATTAAGAATCTGTAAGATCTTCATTTTATTTAAAATATTTATACTGCTTAGATGCTTTAACAGGAATCAGTGGCTTGAATCCTTTGTGAAGTGCATGTTTCAGATTCTCGTGCTGTCTATGGTATATCTTTAAAAAGAATGCAGGCTGTAGATCACGAGCTGTTATCTTCCTCCAAGTAAGACGTCAGTTCACATTTTTATAGCTCCTAATTATGCAAATCAGCTCATGTTATAATGAAGACAGTTCAAATATTAAATGCTCCAAATGAGACTGTGAATATTTTTTAATCCTTTTAGAATGTATTATGTTGTAAAGTGGCTTTAATTTGTATTTTATATTAAGATATAGTGAAATATGTGGAGTTAATGAAGCTCTATAAAGCAGTGTTGTTTGTGATTACAGTAAAGTCAGTGTTTGTTTAGCTGGTTCTGTAATGGGGCTTGTCTGAGTGATAATTTCTTGGCTATGTGTATTCCCGGGCCACTTTATTATATATAGTCATTTGCTCCACCTTGCTGGTGTACAGTAAGAGACTGTAGCTCATCTAGCCCAGGGGTTGGCAACATGCAGCTCCGGAGCCACATGAGGCTCTTTTACTGCCCTGTTGTGGCTCCACAGCTGAATCAGATCTGTAGGTAATAATAAAATAATCCTCCTTTACAGTAAAATAAAGCTCTGCTGATCATTCAACACAGTTTAACAATAAATGGTCTTAAACTCTGGAGTTAATGTAGAACTGCTGATTCACCCTTTAACCCTGAAGATCAGCACAGACTGCTGGTCACCATAGCAACACAGACAACAGTCTCGCCTAGCTAGCAGCTAACGAAACGGCAAAGAGAGAGATTTAAGACGAACATCGATAATTTAGAGATGAATGGACTTATTTGTGTTTATAATCACTCCAGCTGGTTTCCTGATACGTTTAATCTGCAGTGAGAAACTGACAAACATTAAAAAGTCGCGAGGCTGAAGTCGCTTCTCATTCACCAGCTTCATGATCGAATTTTCCCGTTCCACCTTAAATGGTGCAGCAGCTACATTCTGACTCCTCGCCATTTAAGGTGGAATAGGAAAATTCAAACAAGAAGCTGGCGAATGAGAAACTGACTTCAGCCTCGTAAAAAGTCAAACATTGAGAGACATTTTACGAGAAAATATTCTATTTTTGCGGAAAAGTTTCCTGCTGGAGATGTGAGAAAAGCAGCTATATCTGAGCTAAAGCTTAAAGCAGAGCAAAGTAAGTCCATATTTTTTGTTTATATATACAATATAAACAGCCTATACTTGCACATCTGCACATACTGAGACATATTTACAGCCAAGATGGTAAAGGTGGTTTGATTTTTGTTAAAAGGACAAAATGGCTCTTCTTTACATTTGGGGTGCCGACCCCTGCTCTAGCCCTTCATCAATAGCCAGTTTTTTGGACACAGAGCGGCTCTTGTCTGGTCATTTTTGGGTGGTGGGCACTTGCACTACCATGTCAGCGTCACTGCTGTGCTGAAATGCTCAGATACTCAGATAGTATCAGATAGTATCTGGTCTTGTGGTCAGAAACTGACCAATGATGAGTGGGGAAGAGGGGGCTGATAAGCAGCACAGATGGACTACAGTCTGTTCATGTACACCAATACAGTGGAGCTATAAAGCAAGTGTTTCTAATAAAGTGGCCAGAGAGCTGAAATAGGTAGGCGTTTCTAATAAAGTGGACGCTGGGGTTATTTTCTTGCTTTATTGGAATACAACACCAGAATTTGCCCCGACTAGATCATCTTTAGAAATATTACATTTGTATATGTGTGGGCAGGGGTTTGAACAGATTATTATTATTATATTGCTGCACCCCCTCAGTCTCCTGCAGGGTGCTTTATCATGATGTGAAGATGATGGCTTCCAGCAGTAGAGGTTAAGCCCCCCCATGCTGTGCTGTGCAGCTGTGGGATGCTGCCTAAGTACGACTTCCCACGCTTTCATCAAATAACAAATCGTTACTGTTGTAACAAGGTTCTTATTCAACTACAGTCTCCAGGATGGTAACTTTACATGAGAAGGAAATGATGCTCCTCAGTTTTAATTCCTTTTCTGGAGCATTTCTGTTGCCTGTTGAGCTGTTGAATGATGTTGCGTTAGCAGCAGTTTGAAAAGATGTGGTGGTGCTGCACGTGTCTCGGAGGAAGCGTGTGCTAGCCTTCACCCTCACAGCTTGGTACCGTCATGTGACCAAGAGATTGGAGAAGACCTGGCTGACCAGTGGAGCAACTAAATTGCTGAGAAAATTGGGTAAAATTCACTAAAAATTCTAGAACAATAATTAAATGCTTTTCCCCTGCTGCCCACAGCGCTCCCTCGCCAGAGAATCCAGCTGGTCTTTGACAAAAACTACTACATCGAGCCCTCGTTCGAGTGCCGCTTTGATCACCTGGAGATAAGGGATGGCCCCTTCGGCTTCTCTCCGCTCATCGACCGCTACTGTGGGCCCAAAAGCCCCGGTGTGGTCACCTCCACTGGCCGCTTCATGTGGATTAAATTCACCACCGATGAGGAGCTGGAGGGCCTGGGGTTCCGCGTCAAATACACCTACATTGCAGGTAAGCCAGAGAGAGAAATCAGCACTATCTGCTACATTTGGGCTTGTTTTGGTGATGGTTCTGTGAAAACACCTGCGATTCAAATGTTGAGCTAAAGAGGTGGCAGAGTGCTTTAACTACTGAACGTCTTCATTTAAAAGGCACTGAATACTTTATTGGAGTGATAGTTTGGAAAAAAAACATATCAATTCATACAACAGTCCCTCCTGTTCTCTTAACCCGGGTGCAGTCGACTAGCCAAAATGTGTTTGGTGTCCAAAGTTTCCTTCTTTAGTTCTGAGCCGGAGCCACAAGGCTTACAGAAAAATGGACAAAAGTAGAGATGAAAGTTGAGCTTCAATATGCTTTTTTATTGTTTTTAGCACATGTCCGTGTTTATAGATAACAGTATGTCTACAGTGACAGAAACCACGTAAGCAAGTCTATTAGAGATTGCTAAAGCTATGTAAAGTTGTGAATGGTATTTGGAGACCTCTCTGGTGGAAATGTGTAATTGCATGCAGTATGTGGAAGAACATATTACATTTGAGATAAAGAGTGTGATAATTTGATTTTGGGCGGCACGGTGGAGCAGTGGGTAGCGCTGTCGCCTGACAGCAAGAAGGACCTGGGTTCGATCCGGCCGGGTGACCAGGGTCATTTCTGTGTGGAGTTTGCCTGTTCTCCCCGTGTCTGCGTGGGTTTCCTCCGGGTACTCCGGTTTCCTCCCACAGTCCAAAAACATGCAGTCAGGCCAATTGGACATGCTGAATTGCCCCTAGGTGTGAGTGTGCGACTGTGTATGTCTGTCTGTCTGCCCTGTGATGGACTGGCAACCTGTCCAGGGTGTATCCTGCCTTCCGCCCAATGACAGCTGGGATAGGCTCCAGCACCCCACCACGACCCAGAAGGATAAGCGGTTTAGATGATGTATGTATGTAATTTGCTTTTTCACTAGACTGCAGCACTTTTTACTGCAAATCTGCAGTAAGTGACGATTCGTCCAGGGTTCTTTAGTAAAGAAATGGTTCTATATAGAACCATAAACACTCAAAGAACCCTTTGCGTGATTAAAGAGTTCTGTGTATCATGAAAAGGTTCTTCAGAATGTACTGTAGATGGTTCTAAATAGAAGCTTTTTGAAAAGGGTTCTATATAGCACCAAAAAGAGTTCTTACAGTGTCAAGCTTGTAAAAATAAAGAAACCTTTGGGTGCTACATAGAACCATTTTGAAAAAAGGTTCTACAGCACATTCTTCATCAACCTGTAGGACCGTTCACGATGCAAAGAACCCTTTAATGAAGAACCATCTTTTGTAAGTGTGATATAGTGCACTGTGCTGCCTCTTTAGCTTAATTCTGAAATCAGGCTTGTTAAATCCAGGTCCTTAATGTTCTCCGCACTGCAGGCTTCAGTGTTTATCCTGCTCTAATTAGCTGATAAGTCCAATCAGGTGTGTTAAATCAGCCCAGTCTCTGCAGTGCTTCTGGATCTTTTGCTGCGGTCACGGGCAATTTCAGCATTCTGCGTGTTAAACAGGTCAAATAAGACAAACACTAAACGCAGCACATTAGATCAAGCGAGCAGATTTTCCTGCGGCTCTTTCAAACAGGATTTTATCGGCCGTCTCAAGGCTGTGATATCTAAGTAATGCAGCGTGCGTGTTATCATTTCAGACCCAGATTTTAAGCTGCACGTGGGCGGACTCCTGAATCCAATCCCAGGTACGCTCCTCCATCCTTTCGCTGCGCCGTTCAATTCCGTTTGAAGAGTCTTTTGTTGTGTGAGGCTGACTGCCGGCTATCTTTCACTGACGCTCCTCCACTCCTGCCTCTATCTGCTGCCATCCTCTTACCTATCATTGTGTATCTGATTTTGTGTCTCTGACCACCTTGTTTTTTTGCCACCCTCGATTTTTCCACCATTTCTCTTCATCTCATCCAATCTTCAACTTCCATTTCTGCCTGATTCTCTCTCTGCTCTTCTCCTTCCACTGTAATTCTCTCTTTCTGCCCCTTTTCACTTTGTATCACAGATCTTTAGTTTGTGTGTATGTGAGTTTGTTTTTGAACGTTTTTAGGATGAAAATGTCCTGTTTTTGGTTTTTGGATTGGGGCTAGGTTTAGGATTAGGTGGTGTATGTGTGTGTATATATATATAGTATATATATATATATATATATATATATTATATATAGATATAGTATATATATATATATATATATGGGGTATATTATTATATAAAGGTACTTGCATATCACTGCTGTCGGAACAAAACCTTGTATCTCCATTTTCATCATTTTTTCAGTTTTTGACATAATTGAAAATGCCTGTTGTCCTTTACGTTGTGTGTAAATTTCATGATCAATGGACTGAAAGAAATGACGTGGGAGAAACTCCGGTTCCATTGACTTACATTAAAAGTAAAGTATATTTTTTGCTTCTCCTGTAAAGTTTCTATTTTGAAGGTACAAGGTTTTGAGATATATATATCGGATGTATTTTTATATATAGGTATTTTACTTTAATTTCACAGACAAAATGGCCATTATTTCTGAGGAAATTAGATATAAGTTCAAAAACTGATTAAAATCTACAGAGAAAATGTGGCTCCTAACAACCACCTGGAAGAGCTGGTCGACCCCAAAACTGCCCCCATCAGATAAACAGCACTTAAAGCTTTCATCTTTGAGAGAGAGAGGAGAAAATCAAACTGCTTCAGATCTGAAAACATCCACAGGTGTTTCTGTCCATCCTTCCACTGTGAGAAGACGACTTGATTACTTCAGAAAATGATCAACCAGCTTCTAAGACTGAACTTTGGAGGTGTGTCTGCAGATTCTTAGAGAAACTGAAAGTGAGGCTCCTGAAAAGAAAGGAAGCTGGAATAAAGGGAAAGAGAGACTCACTGACCACTGAAAAAAGAAATATATATTTAGATATTTAGTTGCTGGGGTTGTTTTCTGATTTTGTCCTGATTCTGAAATATAAATAATTTGTACTTAATGGCCATTTTGACTGTAGATACTTGACTGTTTATTAGAGTCTGTAGATCCTCCAGCTAAGGCTTTTCATCCTCTCTCTCTGTCCATTCCTGTTAATCAGACTGCCAATTTGAGGTCAGCGGCTCAGACGGCTTCGTGCGTTCCAGCCAGGTGGACGAGGAGGAGAAGGTTAAAGTCGGAGAAGCTCTGGACTGCATCTGGACGATCCGAGCGCCTCCTCATTCCAAGGTGACCTTCTCCACATCCACCTGACACCAGCTGACCAGCTCTTTTCTGCTTAGACACATCCCCGACCACTCGAGATCTGGCCTTGATTAGCCCTCAGGGGACCGGCAGGACCCCCTGACCCTGTCTGAAGAAACTTTTGAAGGGGAGCCGAAATTAGCAGTGCAGCCGTAGCAGGTATTAGGCCAATGATGCAGAAATAGCTGAAGAGCAGAATCAGCACCAGAAGGAATAAGACTGGGGGGTGTTGTGGGTTATGTAAGATTGCTCGGGGATTACACACTCACACACACACACACACACACACACACACACAGACCAGCGAGACGAGGACGTGCTCCAAAAACACGTCAGAAAAAACATTCCCAAAGAGACAACATGTAGAAGCACAGCCAGACAGAATCTGTGATTTCACTTCTTAGGCTAGGATTCACCTGCATCTCTCTGTGTCATAAAATATGCAGTATGAATTCTCACGAGGGTTTTGCCAGGTTTTTTCTGCCTAAAGCATCACTGATTATGTATTTCTTAGAGTTCAGCGCAGCCTGCGTCAGAGATGACCTCAAAGCGGCTCATGTTTCTCAGGCAATAAATCATCCCTCGAAAGTTCCTCGCACCTCGTATTTTGAAATGCGACCCGCCGTTCCGCAGGACGATCTGCATTGCTTGCTCACCTTAGGCTGTTATTTTCACGTCTGCAGATATACCTGCGCTTCCTGGAGTACCAGATGGAGAACTCAAACGAGTGCAAGAGGAACTTTGTTGCCGTTTATGACGGCAGCAGCGCCATCGAGAACCTGAAGGCCAAGTTCTGCAGCACCGTGGCCAACGATGTCATGCTGGAGACCGGCGTGGGCGTGGTCCGCATGTGGGCCGACGAAACCAGCCGGCTCAGCCGCTTCCGCATGCTCTTCACCTCCTTCGTGGACCGTGAGTAACAGTCACTCGTTATAGTTAAAACAAAGAATAATGAACATCAGAACAGAGCACAGCTTTATTACCCATGTCTGAGTCTTCAGCTTCACCAGGCTGCACAAAATAAATAAAATAAATAAATCAACACAAAGCATACATTTAAACTCAAAAACATACAACATGCAGGAACACATACAAGCTTCAGATCCACTGGGTCCATTAAAGTGGCCATTTCCTACATTTTTCTGGGATTTTTTTTTTCCTCATAATTCATTTTTACATGACCATTCCACCCTATATATATATATATATATATATATATATATATATATATATATATATATATATATATATATATTACACACTCTGATCAGGCAAAACATTCTGACCACCTCCTTGTTTCTACGCTCATTGTCCATTTTATCAGCTCCACTTACTATATAGGTGCACTTTGTAGTTCTACAGTTACAGACTGTAGTCCATCTGTTTCTCTGCATACTTTGTTAGCCCCCTTTTACCCTGTTCTTCAGTGGTCAGGACCCCCATGGACCCTCACAGAGCAGGTACTATTTGGGTGGTGGATCATTCTCAGCACTGTAGTAACACTGACGTGGTGTGTTAGTGTGTGTTGCGCTGGTACGAGTGGATCAGACACAGCAATTCTTTAGTATCAAGAAATCTCAAAAATTGCCAGTTTTGTTAAATTTGATCATTCTTGGTAGAATTTTGGTTCAATTCAGAATCATTTTTGAAAACTACCCTGATTACATAAATGTGACTGGAGGAACAAGTAACAGTAGCTGAATATAGACAATAAAAAACAAAACATTAAGATTTTTCCGTTAACAAAACAGCAGGAGGTTTTTATTTCGTACACGAAGAGTGCGTACGTCATTAACAGTGTGTGCTTTTACAAATAGTTTGGAAAAAAAAGCCGTAATATCAGTATTGAAGCTGAGTTTTGGTGCTAAAATGCCCGAATAATATCTGTCACAGTATGTTTTATTACTTTTAACAATGAAAATAAAATATTACTTGGAAAAAGTTCCCAAACTTTGAATGGGAAATACAATCATAAGCAAAAGTTTGGTTAAAGTGTAAATAGGTGAACACATCATACATAAAACATTGTTTTTTTTTGCTAACTTTAATGTAGAACGTTTATATTTATAGCTGAGTTTAAAATGTGCCATAGCTTTTGCACAGCTTCTGTTAAATTCAGCAAATAAACAGTAATTGTGCATTAAAATGTGCAGGAGTGTGTCTCTGTAGAGGATCTGTAACTTATTTACACTTATAAAATCAACACAACATGGAATTAGATCAGGGCTGCAGGACTTTTGCATACAGCTGTAAACACTTTTTGTTTAGTATCAAGAGTATAAATCTCTCAAACTCCGTTTTTATGTTTTCTTACAATTATACGCCGTTACTTTATACCTCTGATCTGTCGAGATCCATACGTGATTCATTGTGTACAGTATTTATTTGACTTTCACATGATATTCAATCTGAATCATCTAATAGCTCAACCTGGCAACACACTCAGCATCGCCATGAGATTCAGTTCTCAGCTATTTGTGTTTGTGCTGAGATTCACATAAAATATGTATTCAGTTTATTTATTCAGTGTGTTTTTCAGTGTGTATGTTTAGGCCTTTGTTCTGTCATTCATCTTTATGATATATAGATGCACTTAAAGATGTGTTGCGCGTTGGTGTTGCTGCATGGTGGGCTGTACTGCTAAAGGTTCTTTAGATTATCACTGCATGCTAATATCCGCATAACTTGGCCAATCATCATCCATTTAGAAAAGAATGATCGTTAATTAAAGCTAATCTTGTCCAAAAGCAGTGATATTGAAAAAGACTAGAAGGTAATGCAGTGGATTTATTAGATTCATATTGTGCGTCGTTCACCGATGAACGAAATATATTATATATTGAACTGACGTTATGTATTTGTGTTGTGCATTTGAATCAGATTAATTCAGTGCATTACTGAATTGTGTGCAGTGCAGTACAGTAAATCAGCTTTTGCTGCACAGTTTAAATGAACCCTCTGTATATTCCATGTTAATTTTCCAAATATATACGTTTTATTAATACTTTTTTAAATTATCACTGCATTCTACTGTTAGAAATACCAGTCCTGCAAAATAAGAGGAAATCCAGTGATTTTTCACAATTTCTGCATCATTCAGTGTTTGAGATGTAATCAGAGAGATTCAGAGTGGTTTGGTGTGAAATGGTTCAGATGTCTTTACAGTGGTGGTGATAGGAACCAGGGGTCGCCATGACTACAACACAAATATAGGCATTTTATTTACTATCCAGAACCACCAGTGAACCTACACGAGTCTTCTGAGTTTATATGGAATGTTGATGATGGAAAATAGTGGAAAATCTGAGATAATAAGTTTTCTTTTTCCTTTTTTTATTATTCCTTACTACACTCTGATTGGAAAGCTACATATGCATAACCATTTTTTGTACTGGCTTTAGGTGAGGTAGCATTTAGAGTCTGGTTCCTATCACCACCATAATAAACAGTTGTGACTCTGTAAGTTTCTCTAGAATGGAGCGTTTCACACCAAACCACTCTGAACGACTCTGCTTACATCTTAACTAGTTAATCATGCTGAAATTTAGAAAAATTAGTGGAGGTCCTGTTTAAATCATTAATCAGTGATCAAATGCAGGCAAATGTAGAGTAAAGTGGGCGGGGCTTATGCTAGGGACACTCAGAAGACTGGGCTCTTTTTCTGAGCAAAAAGAAGATCAATTCTATAAGACTAGAGTTTAAATATGTTATTATATATAGGGGTTTATTTTGTTAAAGGGCAGCACAGCAGACACTGAAAACATACTATTGGAGAACATATATGATTGTATTAAAATCAACAAATAAAATATTGAAAATTGAATCGAATCTTGACCTCAGAAGCAAAAATCATATCATATGTGAAAATATATGTCATTATAGCCCTACTGCGTATAGCATTAGCTACAGGCTGGAGACACTGCATGGAGAAGGCTTGACAGTGTTGGCTAATCCAAAGCTGACCTTTGACATGGCCAGCACTCAGTCAGTCTGAAAAAGCGGCGGAGCCAGCAGGCCAGTCCGAAACCTCATTCATATTTCATCCCTTAATGCGCTCCAGGCAGGTGGAGTGCTCGGCTACTGCCAGCCCTGACTGCAAATATAAAGGCATTAAATAAAGATACGCTGCTGCCTCCAGTGCTGCGCTGCAATTTTAGCTCAGGTTTGGACACTAAAGGCAAAGAAATAAAGCAGTGTTTTATAACTGCTCAGCTCTTGTCTAACACAGCTCTCAGCTTGGGCTGTACACACCATAACGCTGATAACACTCAAAGTTCATGTTTAATGTTTAACCAAAGCTTATCTAGTATTTTGTTGGTGACACATTGAGGTTTTGTCTTGGTCCTCTGTACAGAGGAACTCTATCGATTTGATTGGTTTATTTCCAAAGTTAAATGGCTGAGATGTAAAGTTTTTCAAGGGAGGTTTAATGAGATATACTTTATTTCTTAGTGAGAAACTTACTGATACTGATGTCTTTACAGTGGTGGTGATAGGAACCAGGGGTCGCCATGACTACAGCACACATACAGACATTTTATTTACTATCTGAAACCACCAGTGAACCTACACGAGTCTTCTGAGCTTATATGGCAAACTGATTATGGTAAAACAGTGATAAATCTGTTTGTTTTCTTTGGGGACTATTTCACCCTGCAACACTCTGCATATTCTCTTCTGCCATGAATGGATTTTGAGAAAACGTTTAAGGCCAAAACATCCCTAAAAGTATCATAAAACAGTGTATCAGACAGTGAATTCATAACCACTTCATGTAGTAACTTTCTGTGAGGGAGCTTTTAGAGGTGGACGTCTGGTTCCTATCACCACCACTGCGAACAGTTCTGACTAAGTTTCTCTAGAACAGAGAACGTTTAATTACACTGCAAAAAATGCATTCTTGTCCAGTAAAATTATCTTAAATATAGTCCATAAATCTAATGTTTCTCCTGTTGAGATTGTTCTAAGCTTAATTTAAGATTATTTTCCTTATTTCTAGACATTATTTATTGTGTTAAGTAATTTTATTAGGTAAATTTATCTCACTATATCGGCAGATGATTTTGCTTGTTTTAAGAAATGAGCTTGAAACCAGCAAAATTATCTGCCAGTATAGTGAGAAAATTTTACTTGATAAAATGACCTAAAATAAGTAAACAATGTCTAGAACTAAACCAGATAATCTTATAATAAGTGCACAACCATCTCAAAATGGGAAATAGTAGATAGAGTTCCGAATCGCGCTTCTCTATTCTCTTGTCAGTCTGATGGACGAGTCTGGGTTTGGCGAATACCAGGAGAACGTTACCTGCACTGTGCCAGCTGTAGAGTTTGGTGGAGGAGGGATGATGATATGGGGCTGTTTTTCAGGGGTGGTCTAGAACCCTTAGTTCCAGTGAAGGGAAATCTTAATGCTTCAGCACCAAGACATTCTGGACAGTTATACACTTCAAACTTTGTGGGAAAAGTTTGGAGAAGAACCCTTTCTGTTCCAGCATGACTGAGCCCCTGTGCACAAAGCAGCTCCATAAAGGCCTGACTGGGTGAGTTTGGTGTGGAAGAACTTGACTGGCCCTCACAGAGCCCTGACCTCAACCCCATCCAACACCTTTGGGGCGAACTAGAAGGGAGATTGTGAGCCAAACCCTCTCGTCCAACGTCAGTGTCTGACCTCTCAAATGCTCTTCTGGATGAATGGACGGAAATTCCCACAAACACTCTCCAACATCATGTAGAAGCTTCCCAGAAGAGTGGAAGCTGTTAGAGCTGCAAAGGGGGACCAGCTCCATATTAATGCCTATGGATTTAGACTGGGGTGTAATGTGGGTGTGATGTGTAGGTGTCCCAATACTTTTGTCCATATAGTGTATCTTCATCAGTACAACGTTGAGACCTGAACATCGAGCCGGACC